CTCTGGGAATAAGCACTAGGCAGTTTTACCTAACAGCCCTGCCCAGAGCCTCCATTTAGAGATGTTGGAAGAGGGACTGAAAATCTGGAGAGAGCACCCACTAGGTGGAGGGAGCCTGGGCCAGGTCCCACAGACCAGGAATTCCGGCCGGATGTACGACCGTGTGCTAAGACTGTCCTTGCCGTGCGGAGTGACTGCAGGGGACAGCAGTGGTTCCCCTGCTTTGCTTCTACACAGAGCGCACCACCCACCTAAACAACAGGCCACAAACCTGTCAAGGAAAAGAAGGCAAGGTTATTTGACCTCATTAGGACCATTAAAAGCTCCTTTGCACTAGGCAAACATACCATTCCACAGTGAGTAATGCAAAGACAAACATGTTTTGGTAAAAGAAAAATGTCCCAGAATTAAATTTTTTTCAAACCCTGCATGTGGTCAGAAGCTTACACTTTTGAAGCCTAAATCCCATCTTCAAAAATTCTTTTTCTGTGGAAAAAGCTCTTTCTTTGGTATTGGGGGGGTAAAAATAAAATAAAATAAAATAAAATCAGGAGGGACTTCCTCCCTGGAGAAAGACTTGGAAAAACCCCCAGAGCTACACTAAAAGCAGTCGTCTTGGCCGGGAGTCCTCTGGCTTCCCCTTGCTATTATTAAGTGTCCTTCTGTTTGACTAAGAATTTCTCCACCTCTCACAAGCCATCGTTTCTCTTTCTGTGTCCAGAAAAATCTGAAAACCATGTGTTTATAATGAGCCTGTTGCTATGCAAATGATTAAAACACATTACAAAAATCTTTCCTTTGAGTCACAGAAAGATGAACTGCTATAGCAAGAGTCCCTTCAGTGAACAGAAAAGCTGGCAAAAAGAAATATGAGCAGCAAAGCAAAATGGAAAAAAATAATACGGTGGTCCCATCCCTTGAGTCATTTTAAGCAAAGGTTTGGGGAAAGCAAAGATTTTTAAAGCCCCAAGGTAATGGGTCTTAACAGCTTGGAGTGGGATTAACAAACTTTTTCCTCTTAATCTTTTTAATTCCTATGGGTTCACAACTCATCCTCCATCTGTCTCCTCGGGTGTCCTCTTTATCCGTTTCTTCACACTGCTGTAAGAACGTGTACTCCCGTGTGTATTCTCCTTCTGGTATCTTTTGTCTTGTCCTTCAGTTATCACCTAAAAGTAGGGCCTGAGTTGTCCTTTTCTTTCCAACTCAATCATGGTATCTTGGCCGATTTCCCTCACTTACGAGGAGATTTGTTCTTCAAAAGTCATACCCAGGAGATAAGCAGAAACACAGTATGTCAAAATTAATGTCAAAAAAACAGAGCTCCTCAATTTCCTAATTAAAAAAAAAAATATCTGGACTTGATCATTGTAATAAAGTCTGTTGCCTTCTTAGTTTGCAACCAACAACATTTGCAAATTTTTGTTGTTTTGTTTTGTATAGTCTATTGATCTGCAGGTTTTCAAGGGTGGGACTGCCTGGGGACAAGAAATGAAATGCATGCCTTTTAAATATATCTTCCTTTCACCTCTATGTGTCTCACTATATATGGGTTCACACACACATCAAACAAGCGAACGAACAAAGACCCAGAGTATTAGTTCTAAGCTCTCTGTCTTTATCCAGAGAGAAGAAATGGCTGGTCCTGACTAATGCTATAGAACCTGTTTTACTCTCCAATAGAAGCAGCCAAACCATTGCAAACATGTGTTGGATAAAAACAAGTTTGGTTGGCTCCAGACAAAGGCTTATTTTTTAAGCCCAGATGGTTGAATGGTTGCCTCCTCCAACGGGCTGCCCACAATGAAAGACAGATTTCTGTGTCTAATCTATGCAAATATCTCACTCTGTGGGCATCACAAAGACTAACTGTTTTGTGTCAGACACGGCAGATCCCAGGTGCTCTCAGATGCCAAGGCCCATCTCCCACCTGAGATGCCGGTAACCCAGGTAACAGCGGATGGCCAGAGAGTTAGTCACTAACCCTCCTCCTTCCATGAAACATCCCCCTGGAATCCTGCCCCACAGCCGCTGCTTCTCCTTGGCTGCTCTGCCTGGAAGACAGTTTCAATGTTCAGATGGGACCTCAGATGCTTCTAAAATCTCCCAGGACAGCTCAGATTCCTGCCTGCCCCACCACCACAAAAAGAATCCTAATGACTCAGTGGCATTCTTCAGCTTGAATTCAGCTCGTTATTTGTCTCTAACATCAAACCCAGAAACCATGAGCACTTAAAAATGTGATTCTGTCCTAACCAAATCTCCTTTATATTCTATGTGCCTGCCACCCAGGGTAGGTCACATTGAATCACACCTGAGTCACTGTTAGTGACCCTCAACCTTCCCAAGTGTATGCTATGCCCTTTTTCTTTCCTTTCTCCCTCTAGAAATCTGCCTTTCTTTACTTACAATACTTTTCTCCATCTCCCCAGTTTAAGTCTTGGGTTTGCTTTGACACCCCTTGTTAGTGCAGTTCAGTTTCAAGACCCCCGAGGGCAACAATAATTCCTTCAATGCTCACACACACACACACACACACACACACACACACCCCCTTCATGCAAACCCAGCTCTTAACTTTAAACATCCTTTGCCATAAAAAGGTCATAGCTGAAATCTACACAGTTTAGTTTCAATGCTTAAGTCTAAAAATGTCCTTCAAAGTTTTAAATTATTTTCTTTGTTTTTCTGAGTTAATGACAGTGACAGAATTTGCTTCAGAATCTTGTGTTGGAAACACTCTGTCCCTCCTTATCAAACTTCTTAAATGAACCAAACTGAGCAAGAAGAAATTCTAAAGGAAAAGGAAAAAAGTGCATCTGAATCTCCAGGCTCAATCACCACCACCACCACCAAAAATTCTTACTCTTTCCCTCCAATTTTGAAGTCTGAACACGTTTTGCTTTGTTTTAGCTTATGAATGTACATATTGACAGCCAAATAATGCAGTCTTGATTTTACTTACTTGTAAAATCTAAAACTGCAAAGAACTTTAGAGGTTAACAAATTTATTGATTCCCAAGTATGGATGAATCACTTGAGGAATATTATTCATTTTCATCAGTACGTCCTCCTGATCCCCAGCCTTAGATATCCCCATTCAGACGTCTGGTACAGCCCTAGAATCCATATTTATAATTAATACTCTGGATAATTGTGATATATCCGGTCCCAGTCTGTTTAAGCAACTGGTCTACTCTGCCATCTTACCCAATATGGCGGTCACTACACCTCTATCCACTCTGCGCCACTCCCTTCCATACTCCAGGGCTCTTGCGTTTTTATATGTCTGCTTGTTCCACTTTTATAGGGATTTCATTATGATTGTTGAAACCGTGTTCTTATGTTGAGCCAAGTAACCAAAGTCTTTCAATTCCTTGAACTTCCCTTATTATCAGGTCTAATTTTCTGTTCCAGAGTGGCTGCAGAATTCCTTCCTCACAAGTCTTCAAATATCCTCAGGCAGCTACTCCACCCCCGCAAGTCTTCACTTTTCTAAACAGCCTGATTCTTTTAACTTCAGGAAACACAATTTCTGAGTCCCTTGCCATTTCAACTGCTCTTCTACCACAACAGAACTTACAGACCTTTACAGTCTGTCTAAGGTATCAACACTTCATTTTTTTCCTCACAGACAACTTTTTTTCAATGTGCATTAATTTATAGTCCATGTTTCGGTCTTGTTACTCATTGCCTTACATTTAATGGTCCAAGAGCCATGGATCAGCAAGTACTTATTAATCTAATGCTGTGTTCCTAGCTGTGTAAGGTACTCAGTGAGGATTCAAAAGCCAGAGGAAATCGTCCAATTTTGAAGCGTAAATAATTTCTTGTACAGAAAGGCCTTAGATAAGTGAAGTAACTTGAAAACAATGCACGACAGTACACAACCAAGTACTTCAAGTAGATGACACCAGAAAGACTGAACACAGGTTTTCTGGGCCAGACTGGGAGCTATTTCATGACCTCTGTTTATAGAAATACTACCTATTTAAACAACAGTTTCTTATTTTTTTTTTTAAAGGAAGCTATTCCCACAAAATGTATATTAAAAATTGCAAGTACCTCCTTATTTCAGAAATTCAAAACCTAAGAAACCACATGTGCAATAATCAAGTCGAACACCGTTCCTCTGTCTCAGACTATCATGGACATGGCTTCCCAGCGTTCTGAGTGCCATGAGCCAGGGAAAGGGTGAAAATCAGAGTTTATGCAATTCCTTTTATTACTGAAAATAACCATTGGATGAGGAGACACCCCCCCCCAGCACATTTTAATGAAAAATTCTTATCACTCAGTGAACTATACTAACATTAACAAAAATACATTTGTTTCATTCATAGAATCACAGACTATCAGAATTTGAGGAAGTCATCCAAACCCCTCTCTTTACAGACAAGAGGGAAATATCATTTCAAAGATGGTAGGTGATGCTCTCCAATGTTAAGCAGCCAATGGGCAGGAAGATGGGACCAATCCCCAAAAGGGACTCCCCTCTACCACTGGCTTCCTGTCTCCTCTCATTTAACCTCAGACAATGAAAACTCGTGACTTCCCAACATTGTCCTCAACTCTACTTCCATCTTCAGTTACCATCTCAATCCTCAAATCCAAAGACGGAAGGTACATTTTGTTTGGAGACATTATGAGGGAAAGCGTGGACTAAACGGTAAGCAGGTCGTTAATTTTTTATTCAAGTCTACCGTATTTTACCCACAGTCTCCAATGAATACTTCCATGCTGCGAGACATGAAATTCTACCTGACTCACTAGCATTGTAGGGAACTGCCAGACTTAGTTAGCTAAATGGATTCACACAAAAATTCTAAAAATTCTAAAGCTGAAAAACACTGGTAAAGAATCCCCATCTACTGCATGCTCTCCCCTACTACACTCACACCACACACACCCCCCGCTAAATCAACAAGCTCATCTACTTCAGCTGACGCCTCACAGTTCATCCACACCCTCGTGTGGAACGCGGAAAAAAATGCACCTACCTTGTGGCCTCTTGCTGAAGCCATGACACATTTGGCACATAGAACATGACTCCGAAGAAAAGCAGAGGCTCATTAGCGAATTTGTCCAGATGTTTCTTCAGAGGTTTCTCCAGCTCCACCCATCGTGCTTGCTGGCTCTTGCTGAGAAACCAGAGGCCAAAGTAGTGTGTCTAGATAAAAGGGTAAAACAACATCAGTTCCTGCTTACAAGGGCCTTCCCAAGACCACACAGGAAACAAGGCTCCTGTGTCCCACGCCACCTTGGCTTCCCCAGCCCATATACACGGATCTGGCTTTTACTTTTTTAACATTGGGACAAATTAAAAAGAAACCATGTGTACACAGTAGTGTGATCTACACTGAGTATCCAGAAGCAGTATTCACACCCACTGCTACTGTTTGTACATGTGGGTACCGATGCGCTCGTGTAGATAAAGGGGGTGGTGTTGGGTGGAGACCATGCTGACTTTTTTCCTAAGCTCTCAAGGCCGACTTTCCTGTAGCTTCTGAGTGCCCCGTGATTTCACGTGGAGCCTTCTGGCAAAGGCAAACACGGTTCCTGCACCTGCTGCAAAGTAGCTGCTCATACAACCAAGACAAAACCTTCTGCCAACTGAAAGCTTCCACAGTGTAGAATATTTTCATCCAGTACCAGATTTTAACTGAAAGCTGATTCACTCCTTTTGAGCTTTAATGGAGTCTTTAGAAAAACATCACCTCGACCACTTCATTGCACATGAACTGCAGCCAATCTCCCCCATATCAAGCTTTCAGGGTGGAAGGGTCCCCTCTTCACAGCTGCCACAGGGCCCCCGGTGGCTGTTCTTGGCCGATTATGATGGGGTTTGATAGATGAAAGCAAGCTTTTCACCTTTAGACTTGAAGCCTCACCCAGTTTAGTTTTGAACAACATGCTAAATGATTAAAACAGGTGCTTTTATACAGCCAATCCCGTCTTCATATTAATTAATGCTCAGATTTCAGGATTAGCACTACAATCACCACAAAATAGATCACTGCTTTTGAAGCATTCTTTTATATTTCAATTATAGCCTAGAATGCTTTAGAGCACACCTGGAAATCTGCCTTCAAAAGAATGTTTTCATTACCACATTTAATTTCCAAAGGCATTCCTGTGCAGACGTTCCCCTCCAGCTGGCTGCCCCCTCCTCAATACCAAAGACCAACCGTGCCACAACCCTACCAAGGCCTGTCGTAAGTTTTGACTCTGATTCAACTGCAAAACCAGACATGAAACTGCCTCCATGAAGCTACAGACCCTAATACTCTACAGGGCATTTTTAACTGACATTGCAGATGGGAGCAGCGATTTAATCCGCTCTCCTCTATGATGTTCCACTGGGCAAGTTCACATCAGAGGTCGATGCATTTCTCGAGCAACAAAAATACAACAAACAGAGCTAAGGTTCTATCAACTCAGACACACTTGCTAGAGCGAATTCTGAGCCTATGTTCCTTTCCCAGCCCTGGTGAGTCCATGAGCTGTCCCCATGTGACGGATGATGTGGAGGAAGTGAAATGTGGCTGAGTGGAAAGAAAACAGACTTTGAAGTCAGTTCATCTCGTGGCTCTTGCACTCACCGCCCTAGTGCCTGTGGCCAAGTTACTGAACCTCCCCACACCTCAGAGCTTTCTCATCTGTAAAATGGGGGTGCTCACTACAACCATGACCCGCACAGGCTTCAAAGGGTGTCAATGAGATGATGCCAAACAACTGTGTGTATAGGGGGCATGTGTTAAGTAGCTACTTCTGTTGCTGCTGATGCTACTACCACCAACGCCTCCATTGAGAAATAAAAGCAGACAAGCCTGAAGCATCTTTTTTATCAGCAGTCCTGACATCCCCATGAACCACAGAATTAGAAAACAGAGGTTTTCTCATCTGGAACTAAATGAGAAAAGGCAAGCAAAAGTAGAAGCTAGAAAGCCTGTCAAAAACATAAAAATCTAAAAGGTGTGAGGGGGAAAAAAGTCATGAAGCAGTGCCTCCCCGGGGTTTTCTTTATAGTCTCGTTACAGGTGTTGGCGGGACACGGGAACATCATGCTGAGGCCGTCCTAGAGGATCGATAATGCAGGCTCATGCGATAAGCTTATCGGGGCACTTAATAAACCGCCTGGAAATGGGCCGGGGTGATTCTGCATCATACTGAGAGCCTTTAAGGATCACAGTGCCGTAGAGAATATTTTGGATGGCCAGCAGTGAGTTTGCATATAATAAATGAGGTAATACATGTAAACAGAAATGTGCTATGTAATAATTATGTTAGTTGGAAAAGAGCCCTTTTATAAGCATGGGTGGAGAAAGGGAGGACAAACTTCACAGTTGCTTAACAGGCCAAGCATGATTTATTATCTTTCACTAAAAGTAGCCTTGACATTTGGGGGTATAATTTTATAGGCCATACTTCATTCAAATTATAACATTCACTCAAATTAGTAACATTCAAATTATAAAGGGCCCACAGTAACTGCATAAACATTCTACAGTTGATTTCTCAAAAGAAAATTTGAAAAAAAAATTCTTACTGCTCCTATGCTTTAAAGGCTAGTATTTTCAATCTCCTTTTCCCATTCCCACCCACCCACCCGTTAAACCAGACCTGATCGTCAGCCCTCAGAAAACCCGAGTAAGAATATGCCATAGAGTGCACACGCACACACTCAGGTGCTTGCTCTGAAAAGGGGCTGATGAGGCACAGGAGAAATCCCTGTAGGGTGGCAGACCTGAGCCATCATCAATAGCACAGAGCTCTAAATAACAAGGCAAACCACTTCCGATGCAAAAGAATAAAAACCGAATCCATGGCATAAGATTTTTTTGTTGTTGCAACATAGCCTTTTCCACAGGACACAGGATATTTCAAGGTGACTGTTCTGCCTTTACCCAGTAAAATAATTATGGAACTACTCAAAACACAGGGTTTCCAGTGCAGGGTAGAACTGGGGGAGGCAGGTCACCTGGAGGACCGAGTTTCTACCTACTCGCAGCCAGAACAACTGGCTTTTAGAAGTGCTGAATTCAGTCATCAAGCAGGAAGCAAAGTCCATTCATGAGACCCCCCACACACACACTGTTCTGTGAAGCAGTGCCCAAAGTAACCTTCTCCATCCCCACCCCATTCTCTCATTCTTACTCCACCTATATCCCTAATCTGGGGTATGCGGAAGAGGGGGAAAAACGGTCTCAAAGTTCTTACCCTGCTCTCATCAAGTCTACTAGGCAGTGCATGTTTATTCTGTCATGTGTACACAGTGCCGCCCAGGAAATGGAACCAGAACTTAACAGCTCACTTAAATGAATATGTGCACCTACCAACTTCCTATGGGTCAGCCAAGAGACCATTACTCCCATCAGGCCCAGCTGGGACCACAGCAGGCCTGTTCACAGTGGACTTGCCAGTTCGAACTCCAGCTGGATTCTGCAAGCTGAGCCTCCCTGCGCACCATCGCCACGTGGCTGAGGAGAATGTGGTGGACAATTCCAAAGAGAAACCACCTCCTCCACAACCAGAAGGATCCCAATGTGCTGCCCAGGTAAATGCGGGTAATCCTTGCTTGGTTTGCCTCACAGGCACCCAGCCTAAGCCAGGACCGTCTCATCTCAAGGTGCCTCTGGGTGAGCTAGCCATCCGATTTTATTGCTCTAGTTCTCTTTGAAAAACAGCTCTGGTGCCGGGAATTCTACAGTGAGTTCACGGCCATGGTAAGAAAAGAAGACAGAAGAACCAGCTCGCAGGGAGAGGCACCGCACCTCTGAGTCAGTTACTAAAAATGCACCAAGAAACAACCCAGGGGAGATATGCTAAATTGCCATTTTCATGAGTAGTTTCCTCATTTGCTTGGTTTGGAGTGTCGCATTTTAACAGAGGAAGCATAGTGTATTCGTGCACTCAACAATAGGCTAGCTTCTTTTGTGGCAGAGTGGTGTGTGAACACTTTAGAGTCAGAGTAAGATCTCTCTTTTGGCATCATGAAAAGACTGCCTTTAAAAGCAGTCTGGAGCACTTTTGATTCATTTGTTCCTTTATTTGTAGAGATCGTGCTATTCCCCCACATTGGCTATTAACAGGAAAAGATTTCTTGTGGGGTTTTTTTCCCAGTTTTGTGACCAAATGCACAGCTTTAATGCTGTTTGTAAGGGTTATAGATGCCATCTTGGCAATTACAATACTACGGATTAAATCCATGATCTTATCTCAAGCATTTTGAAGAGTTAATCATCCAGAAGCAAATGTTTAAAATTTCTTGCATGAAGTTGTAATAGATTGCCTGTAGTGCCCAGTATTTCAGTTGTAAAGTTAGAAACAGAGCGAGTTGGTGTGCCTCCACGGGCAGGGATTACATCAAGCACTAAAACGTGCACCGAGGCATGGAAAACACTTCTAAAGATGACTATAGGCAGACTCTGAAACTGCACGTCATGCAATCTCATTCCAGTGGCTTTGGAAACTAAGCCACTGTACGTTAGTTGGATAACTGTGAAAACACAACTTGTGTGCAATCAACCTCTACTCTGGGTAGGTCTGGGATTTCTACAGTTGACACATCTATCCTTAACAACCACACCATCTTTGTTTCCTAGCCAATCTCTTCAAAAAAAAAGCACAGGAAAAGAAACTGCAGACTAACATAGACCTAAGAAGCAAATCTCACAGTCAAGAAAGATCACTCAGAATAGACAAAAAATGAAGACTTACAAGTTAGGACCGGGGAAATTATTTCACCTACAATCTCTGTGTCTAGAAGGCAAATATTGGTACCAATTTACCCTACAGAATTGACACTGAGCTAATAAGATTTCCCATTATTGTCATAACAAAGACAAAAAGACAAATTCACAAGTCTTCCAAGCCCACTACTTTTCAATTGAATCTTAATCAGTGTTGATTATTTTAGCCCACTACACATACAAACACACATGGATGTGGTTAAGCAGACTATAAAATACAGCAAATGCCACTATTACCTGACAGGGTCAGGAAATTTGTTGTTCTGTTTAATCAAGTACTCCCATAATCACACTTAAGTTACCAATTCCCAAAATAAATGCAAGCCTCAGAAATATCCTTGACGTAAGTTAGATTTTTTTTGATGATAGGAAATGCATGTTAAGATTCCATGTCTTTAAAACTCCAGCCACTGTGAAA